TATATTAAAAAAGCAAAACTAGGATACTGTCAATGAAGAAACATGCTGTTTTAAATAACATACAATGTCTTGTTCTTGTTTATATCAGGAGATGTGTTATTATGACCAAATAAAGTCAGCACAAATTGACATGTAATATTTACTAACAAAATGTGTACTAGTACACTGCAGTTTCATATTCCATGATCATCCAACAAGTTTGTTCATTTAAATTAGTATGTGTACCTGTTTACTTTGCAAAGCATCATGGATGCATTCATTAATCAAATTGTGTTGTGAACTTTGTAATATGAATACGAATCGAATAATTGTTAGTCTTGACTATGTATGTCATACTTATAAGATGCATAGTATATTTTATGAAATGTTACGATAAGTGTATACTAGAACATCAAGTATGGAAATATCCAGGCTGTGATGCATTGAGATGATACAAACTTAAAGGGTTGATTCTCTGTCATGATTCAGAAGTTTCGGGTTTCAGCAGAATTGGGTGGCGGTCGACCGGCCCGGTCGACCGCATTCGTGCACAGGAGTTATTGGGCTTCAGGATTGGTGGCGGTCGACCGATCCGGTCGACCGAATCTATGGGCGGTCGAGCCTGTTTTCAGACCCGCTTCGTTTTGGGTTTGTATAAATACCCTTTGGGTGTTTTTTAGGGTTAAGAGCAAGGACGAATTTGAGCAGATTGAGAGAGTTTTCTTTGGGCTTCTATTCTAGGAGCAATTGGAGAGATTGAGAGTTGATTGTTGAGGGTTTATGAGAGATTTGTAACCCTAGTTTGTTCCTCTTGATTTCTAATAGTGAAAACTCCCCCCTCCTTGCCCCGTGGACGTAGGCATCTTGCCGAACCACGTAAAACTGATGTTTGGTTGTTTGTGCTGTTGATTTTGGTTGGTTGTTTATCTTTCTCGGTGATTGTTTTGGTTTCTCGAGGCGCAACAATTGGTATCAGAGCTCCAGGCTACGCTTGGGCTATTTTGGAGGAGTAGATCGCTTTGGAAGTTCATCTAGGGCTTCGTTTGGTGATAAAGGTGGGATCTTTTCAGTAAAAATCTCGTCTTTTTCAATTTGGATCTATTTCTCGTTTGTTTCCGCATTGGTTTGGTGGTGCTTTGAGATATATGGCTGAAAAAGATAAAAGTGGGGAGGGTTCTTCTGGTGTGAAGGCCGTCCAAAGTTTGAATATACATTCTATGAAAATAGATGTGGAAAAGTTCAACGGCACAAATAATTTTGGACTTTGGCGATGCGAAGTCATGGATGCGCTAAATGCGCAAAATTTGGAAGATACATTGGAGTTGGACGGAAAACCGGCCGACGTTGATGAAAAGGTTTGGAATAAGATGAATAGAACGGCGTGTGGTGTGATTAGGTCTTGCCTTACCCAAGACCTTAAATATGATGTGATGAATGAAACTTCGGCAAAGAAGATTTGGGAGGTCCTAAATATTTGACGAAGAGCGGCGAAAATCGTTTGCATTTGAAGAGGAGGCTTTATCGCTTCCAATTGAAGAAGGGGACATCCATTAGTGATCACATGAACCACTACACGAAGCTACTTGCAGATTTGTCGAATGTAGATGTCAAGGTTGAAGATGAGGACAATGCATTGTTGTTATTGAGTTCCTTGCCCGACGAGGAATATGAGACCTTCGTCCTCACTCTTATTAATGGAAAGGCATCACTTTCGTATAGTGAGGTCACCGCAGCCCTTGTGAATTATCAACTTCGAAAGAAGGACAAGGAGACTTCCATCGAGCCGGTTGCTGGTGCATTGGTTGCAAGAGCTAAAAGTCCAAACCGTGGAAGAAGGTCGCAGTCTAGAGGGGGGCATCCTACAGTTGGTAGGAATTAGTGTGCCTTTTGTAGAGAGGGTGGACATTGGAAAGCCGAATGCCCAAAATTGCAAGCTGTGAAGAATAAAGGGAAAGCTACTCAAGCTTCAGAGGTGAATATTGCCAAGGCTAGTGGTGATGTTTCAGATTCAGATTCTTCGGGCTATTCGTGCCCAGCTCTTCCGTCAGTTGATGTTGCCGACTCCACCGAGTGGATGTTGGATTCTGGTGCTACTTACCACATATGCCTTAGAAGGGATTGGTTCTTCAGCTTTCAGGAGTTGGAAAGAGGGGATGCTGTTCTCATGGGTAATGATCACAGATGTCCTATTGGTAGTATTGGTACCGTTCGGATTCGGATGAGTGACGGGATGATCCGGGAGTTGGCTGATGTGAGGTTCGTTCCTCAACTGAGGAAGAACATCATTTCACTTGGAGTATTGGAGGCATCAGGCTATAGGATGACCTTGGTGGATTCTCGCTTGAAGGTCACATCGGGGTCCATAATTATGATGAAGGGAGTCAGGCGGAGTAACTTGTATTATCTACTTGGGAGCACGGTAGTTGATAGGGCGCTGACTACTTCTATGGCTAGACTGTGGCATTGTTTGGTGCTGGGATATATTGTTGGTTATACCGTGCACAGATTGTTAAGGATGCTATGACCTGCAGATTGAAGTCCTGTGAGCACATTGGTATGAGCCCGAGAAGACGCAGGTGGAGTTCAGCATTCTATCCATCGATCGAGAGGTCTTATTGGAGGTGTTCAGTCAGGCATTTGGGGGCTTTCCGAGGAGGCATCATGCGGAGGTAATCGTTATTTTGTTTCCTATGTTGGGATTGTACTAGGCATATTGGAACCAAGTCCCGTTGGTATAAAGCCCTAGTAGTCCGCAACAGTTGGAGGAGGTGTATGGGCAGAAAGGTTACCAGTCATACTTGTTCTAGTAGGTGTCCTTTCTTGCATTGGTGCCGAGCTCACGGCAGTTGGAGACACTTCAGAGGGAAGGAGACAGTGGGGCGACGTGATGAGATGGCGGATTTAGTGGGCCGTTCTTTTCTGGAGGAGGATCGATATTGGTTGTCGAGCAGTGGATCTGGTATTCAGGCTTCGACAGGTTTGGGTCATCTTATGAGGTTGCCAACTGCTGCGTATAGAGTTGTTAGATCTGGTGGAGCTGTTTCAGATTTTGGCCGGCGTCGGATATTTGGCTACCCAGCACTTGGTCACATCGTTGATGTGAGGTTGGATCCGATTGCGCATTTAGGATTCAGAGGCTCGTTCGGCTATCAGTGGGGAGCTTCTGAGTTTGGTCTGAGCAGGTTTGTCACTTTGGACTCTCGGCAGGTGGAGAGTATTGATCAGGTCAGAGGGATATCGCAGCGGGTGGAGGTTGATGCTACTCCACATTGGGTGGGGATTTCCCCACATACTCCAGGTCATTCTGATTGGTTGGGATTCCAGCTGATGTGGCACAGCGTGTGAGTCATTTATTTATGGGTGCAGATGATGAGGTAGTTGATTTGGATGCAGCTGATGGATATGTTTTGGATACGGCCATTGTTACATCTCAGGTGGAGGTGTTTGGATCGTTTCAGTTTGGGGTCGTTGATGATGCTATCAGCCGCAGGTTGGATTGAGGGCCTTTGGAGGCCCATATGGTGAACTACGTGAAGGCTTGATTCCTTGGGCAAGAGGATACGTAGGCAGTCTTTATGATGCAGCCGATTTGGTGAGCGACATCGACATTTGGGGAGAGTGTTCGCACTCCCATTTGGGTCTCAGCAAGTGAGGCATTTGGTGTAGTCGGTGTAGGCTCAGTTGTTTGGTGAGTAGACACAGTTGGTTTGGGGTTGAGTGTTCGCACTCCCGTTTGGATCTCGACGTGTTGTGATTGGAGTCCGTTGTCATGAGTCCGTTGCCATGGCATACTGGGTGCAACAGTTGAGGTATTGGTTTGATCGGTGTCGGCTCAGTTTTGGTAGAATCTTCGCCGAGGTGGAGATTTGAAGAGATGAGCTCAGGATTCATGTTGTCAGGGTGGCGGTCGACCGGCCCGGTCGACCGCATTCGTGCACAAGGCTTCCTGTGCGTCTGGAAGGAGATCGGTCGACCGGTGCGGTCGACCGACGGTTCTCTGGAGTTTGGGTTTTCTACTGAGAGCTGGTCGGTCGACCGGGCCGGTCGACCGGAATTGATCGCGGTCGACCGGTCCGGTCGACCGACGCTGTTTTGGGCTGGGCTGCCTGTTTTCAGACCCGCTTCGTTTTGGGTTTGTATAAATACCCTTTGGGTGTTTTTTAGGGTTAAGAGCAAGGACGAATTTGAGCAGATTGAGAGAGTTTTCTTTGGGCTTCTATTCTAGGAGCAATTGGAGAGATTGAGAGTTGATTGTTGAGGGTTTATGAGAGATTTGTAACCCTAGTTTGTTCCTCTTGATTTCTAATAGTGAAAACTCCCCCCTCCTTGCCCCGTGGACGTAGGCATCTTGCCGAACCACGTAAAACTGGTGTTTGGTTGTTTGTGCTGTTGATTTTGGTTGGTTGTTTATCTTTCTCGGCGATTGTTTTGGTTTCTCGAGGCGCAACAGTCTAATGTGACTAGTCTGACGTACCATTTACATGGTTTTATTACTCAGATAGTCATACCTTCCAAATTCTTGTGAACTTCCTCTATGGCTCCATAATATGATTATTAAGTAGATAAGCTATTGTGCCATTACTTTTAAGTTTTAAAACTGCCAAAAACCTTCAGTTAATTTAGTGAAGAAAGATTTTGCCTTATTTTTTCATGACGATATCAATTTGAATCACTTCTATGTTACGTTGTCACTTTTTCACTGGCAACATAGATCAATGTGAATGTTGTGCAGTCATTCTCTTCTGATTATAAGTTTTAGAGAATTATTTTACCCTGCTTCTATCATATAGATTGAGACTAGTTTTCTAACCTGTTTGTTGCTTTATCTGTAATATCGTGGCTCTTAGATATGTTTTTTATATACCTGATCTTTTGGTGTTAAAAGGATTCATCCTTCAAGAGGTTGGATCGCTTTTATTCGAAAACAGTGTGATACTAATTTTTTATTCTGTCTAGTTCTTTATTACTGGTTGTGTGAAGCTCTCTTGACCCTGTTTCCATACATTCTTGTGGTGGTGCAGCAAATGTTTATCACCGTGATTTAAAGCCGAAGAACATACTAGCAAATGCAAAATGTAAACTTAAAATCGGTGATTTCGGATTAGCAAGAGTCGCATTCAGTGATACTCCTACAAACAATACTTTGGACGGTATATTAAAAACATGCAATATTCTTTTTTGCGCTATTTCTTTTACAAGTTGAGTGAAAGAAATCCCATGTTATATGTTTTGTACCCTTTGTTTTCCCTTCTAGCTTCCTTTTTGCTGATACATGAGGTAATAATATTATGCAGGATTATGTTGCAACCGGATGGTATAGAGCACTTGAGCTGTGTGGATCATTTTTCTCTAAGGTAAAGACTAGAGATCATCATGAGTGTCACGTTATTTATGTTTCCAAAATTTATGAGGAAGCAAAGTGTATCTTTTGTAGTTTTCTTAACAACAAATTGAAAGACCAGGTGTCATCATGTACCATATCAAGTTATTTATGTTTTTAAAGTTGATTAACTTCAAAGTATGCGCTTGTCTGTTTATTGTTGTGTTAAGACTCTTATATAGTAATTGTTTTCTTGCTACTTTGTATTGGCATTGTATAGTCATATTTATCATGTTGTTTGACGTACATTTACTGACAAGTTACAACTGATTCAGTTGTAAGTTTCTGATTACTGCACTATTTATTTGACATGGTTTTTTGCATATTGGTATTTATTTTAGTCATAGTTGTTACCTCTATATAACAGAAGGCAGTCTTTTATGAGGTAAGAAGAGAAGTAAGTCATTGTAATTTCAGGAAGGTAGATCATTGTAGCTTTGGACAGCGAATGAAATTTTGTTTAAATAATAATTTCTAGTAAGTAGAAAATGCTTGTTCAGGAAGGAATTTTGATCTCTCCTGCAAGCTGAAATAGCATACTTGCAGGTACTTTTATTTGGTAGGTATTTTCCTGTTTGCTTTTTGTAGGCAATAAACTGTAGAATAATGCACAAACTAATGGATTCTGGATTTGCAGTACATCCCTGCTATTGATATATTGAGTATAGGTTGTATTTTCGCTGAGGTATTGACTGGGAAGCCACTATTTCCGGGGGAAAATGTGGTTCACCGATTGGATCTAATGACAGATCTTCTTGGCACACCTTCTTTAGATACCATATCTTGGGTCTGCTGTCTTTTCTGGGTGGAATAATAATATATCTATATTCCAAACAAGAAGCATCATTCAATTGACACCAGACATTAATTGTTTGTCTCTAACTTGGTCTAGGTTCGCAATGAGAAGGCGAGATGATACTTGAGCGGTATGAGAAAGAACCAACCTATACCATTTGCGCAAAAGTTTCCTAATGTAGATCCTCTAGTGCTGAAATTATTGGAAAGACTTCTAGCATTTGATCCGAAGAACCGTCCTACTGCTGAAGAGGTATGCACTTTCTTCATCATTTACTACTGAGTACCCCCCACCCTCTGTCCCGCATGACATGGGGAAAGTGAACAAGATAATTGCAATGTTTTGGGAAATTTCGATTGTGTAATGGTTATGCATAATGACAAAGTGCTTACAGATAATTGCATTGTTACTATCAGTGGTTTCCAGTTTTTATTGTAACACACATCGTATATAAATTCGTTATCTACATTTTACCAGAAATATGAAAAAAAATTCAAGAGCTTACTTGCTATATAAGTAACAAGCATGAGGACACCAAGCCATTTCCTGCATTGAGTTCCAGAAAAAGAAGCACAAACATTCATGCGACGCACTGTCACGCACATACGCATGCTATGAATAAACTGTTTCTACACTTATAATGCTAGTCAAATTTTACCTTCTCTAGTTGATACTTTCTTTCTAGTTTTCTCACAGATTCACATATTTTAGGAAATTGGGGAAAGTGAGATGGCATTTTGTATCTCCTGTTTCTTTATTGCGGTGGTTATATCTGATTCATACTTAAAACAATAGTTTATGTAGATATTAGCTCCTTCTATCAGTTCTAAATGTAGCTGCTCGCCAAAGACAAAGAAATTAAAAATTAAAAATTGAAATTTAAAACGTTGTAAATGCTTTTGTTGGTCTATTTCCCAAGCCAAACATCTCTAAACAAAGAACTTTGTAATTAACACAAAGAAGTAGTCAGTTGTAACAAAAGGCAAGTTGAACAATTTCAAGAGTGCCCAAGATGATGGAAGAAGTTTTTGTTCCTTCTTTAAGAAAATGGGTAAGACTGGATAGGGATCATTCATTTTATTAACTAAATAAATGCTTTATGAACAAAAATCTCCCTATAAACACCATTTTTTAACCACATCTCTTTATGCATGAAGGAGGTAATATTTGAAGTACATGAACATGAATGATGATACTTGATATGTTTTTTTGTATATGTATTCCTTAAATCATGTATATTTGCAAAACTAACCCCAAAATCTCAGCGAGACTACCCTAAATCATCAACTTTTGAGAAAAAATGCTTCAAATTCAATAAATCATGAGTTTTGTTAGGCTAATGTGCAACTAAATGTAGACAACAAACTAGTCAACCTTTTACTCACCATATCAAACAAAGTTGATAATTTGTTGATTTAGGGTACTTTTTACAAAAGTTGATAATTTGGAGGATAGTTTTGTAAATATTATATTCGGGGGGACATTTGTAAATACACATGATTTAAGAGGTATATACAAAAACCCTACTTGATATAACTACAACATACATGTGAACGCGATCCCCCCTTTAAGTGAGTGGATGGAAATGAGCTACCTCATTACCAAGAATACACATATTCCTCATATATGTATGTATATGTGTGCAGTATAATTTAATGAGATAATATGTAATGAACATGAAAACCATATTCAAGTGGGAGAACAACGAACAACAAGGAGAGAAGTTATGTACTATGACTTCAACTATTTACTAAAAGAAATGGTGGCAATTGTTGCTTCTATCAACTAAAAGAAGGTATAAAATAGCACAACCTAACTCCTAATGATATTGGCTGCTTTCCTTCATGTCTCATCCCCATTTTGCACATCTAACTAGAAGGTCCAGAACATCTTCACTCTAAATGGGTCCAACTAGGAGTACCCATTAAAATCAACAAAGATTATGACTGTCCATGAAATAGTGAATTTTGAAATCAGCGTATTTGATTTTCATTGGATTATAATGAATGGAAATTGGAGATAAATTATGCATTATACATCATAAAATCGTGAATTTTAAAGTATCCCTACTTAATGTCCATTAGTTGAAGCGAAGAAAGGTGAAGAAAAACCATGGTTCGCTAAACCGAAAACATTGAAATTTCTCATTCTTAGTTCTCATAAACAAAAAATAAAAAATGGATAAATGAAAATCATAAATTTTGAAGTGAGCATACACCATTGCCTTTTCGCTGAAACAAACAAAGTTGACAAAAATAGTCCATGAAATTGTAAACTTTCAAGTACACATAACTAATTCACATTACCTAATTTACATTATTTCAAAATGAATAAAAATAGAAAGATAACCATGGGGTTCCCCAGGAAAATAATGAACTTTAAAGTATCAACACTTAATCTCTATTAGTCTGCAACGCAGGAAAACAAACAAAAATATTTAGTTATAGCCGATGAAATTATGAATATTAAAGTAACCATACTTAATTGCCATTTTGGTTGACACAAACAGAAATGGACAAAGGAAGTGGGTAATAGTCCATGAAAATCTTAAAATATTAAAGTGCACAAAATTATTTGTTACTAAGTGGAAATGAACGAACATGAAAAAATTGTAGGTTATAGCTAATGAAAATCATAAATTTTTTAAGGTCACATACTTGCCTTTCGATCGAAACCAATACAAATTTAAAAAGTTTGAGGGTATAGCATACAAAAATCTTGAATTTTATAGCATTGCAGTTGGAAACTTGGGACGCTATAGTAAACCATGATTTGGGTCCAATCGTCCAAGATTCATGTGGAACACGACCTGATTCACCAACTCTAGCAATCCGATTGAGAATTTAGTCCAGTTAAAATTTTAAAAATACTCTTTTTTAAAAGAATAAACAACCAAAAATATGAGAAATTAAGCCAATAAAGTATGCATACCTTATTGCAACATGATCCTCAAGGTTTGTTTCCCATTACTGATATCAATTAGCATGTGGAACCTAAAGCGTACTACGTACTGTAGTGTATAAGCCTACCCCCAGTACCCAGTTCTTAATGAGCGGCATACCAAGCACAAAATTGGTGTTTGGTAATGAGGTGACTCATTCTCATCCACTTGTTTAAAGGGGGATTGTTGGGCGTACATGAGTTGGATAATTGAATGAGTGGATAAGTGACCACCTCACTATCAAGCACTAAATTGGGTACTTGTTACCAATCATACCCATTATTCTTATTATAATATATATAATATATATATATATATAATATATATATATATATATATATCATATGAGAAAACTGTGGAAGCGCTGTCCAGACGCTTCCGCCGGCGTGCGCGTCTCTCAAATTGGGCGCTTTGTTAGAAATAAACAGGCGCCGTGAATTTTTGAAAATAAAAATCCTCTCGGTAACTCACACACTCTCTCAAAGAAGTTCCCAAAAATTCGCCAGCCCACAAGACCCACACTTCAGATCCCGCCAAAAATCACCATTGACCCCAACTCCCTCCTCTCTCGGCTCGGTGACCCCTAACCCCCGTCGCGCGGACGGCAACTCCGCCTCGACCCCAACCGCTCGATTCTCGGCCCCACACCCGTCGTCGACAGCGGGAGACCGACGCAACTTCCGCACTCGACCCCAACCCGCAACCCCCTCCTCTCGCTTGCGGTCCCAACCTTGTCGCCGACCAACTCTCTCTCTCTCGGTCGTGGCCCTAAACCCACCGCCGACCAACTCCAGATCCCTCCTCCGCGAGATTGAATCGGCGCCGCAGGTAACTTGAAACTTAAGTTGATTTATTTATAAACGGAGAGCGTGGGTATAAGGAGTTGACTACTTGTTGATTTGAGCATTTGCGCAAATTTGATATTTCTAATTTGATCAAATGCAGACCTTCATTGTCTTGTAAATTTTTTGATAATGATGATAAAAATTTAATTAGCTAGGTCAATCAAGTTTCTAAATAAGAAAGAATATGATGTCTGCATGTTATTAATTTAAAACGTACCAGGTAATTCATTATCATGCTGATTGTTTTCAATTTGCAGTGCTTACCTATGAATTTTTTTCTTAATATCACTACTTAACATAAATCAATATCATTGGTTTCTAAAGATTGTAAGTTCAATCTATAATACATGAGGATCAAGTCTTCCATCCGTAATAATCATCATTGTGGATGGAAGAGGAAGTTTGAACTCGTTTAATTCTGTTTTACCTCTAAAGTTTGAACGAATGTCTACCTAATTTTGGTTGTTTTACATGTTTTCATGATTAATACGGTCTCAGGTGCATTATGGGTGATCTGTTCATCTACAATATTGATGCCTATTTTGTTGATAAATGTTCACTAGTATTAGGGGAAAAAATGATTTCAGAAATTCAATTTCATGCAGTCCCTTGAAGCAGAGATGTGTTTTTTTATAATGTTTTTGTGTGCGCCCGCACTATTGTATCCCTTATTATCTCCCGCAGTTATATACTTTTTAGCTTAATGAATGCAAATACTTTTCCGTGCGGTTACGGTTGTAGTTGTTTAGATCATGTATTTTAGCATTTTATACAACCATCAAAGTTTTTACAAATACTAAATTTATTTTTCTTGAATTTCTTTTCTTCTTTAGGAGTTCGGAATGGAGGAAACAAATTCAACTAGTGTAGAGTTCGGAATGGGAGAATTAAGTGCTATTGGAAGTGAAATTGTGGTCAATACTGTAAATGCTCCTAAACCACTACTAGGAATGAAGTTTAATAGTTATGAAGAAGCTTATAACTATTATAACTCTTATGCATTGTTGATGGGTTTTGGAATAAGGAAGAGCACGATAAATTACTCTCGCAAGATTAGAGAAGTGGTAGATAGGAAGTTTGTTTGTGATAAGGAGGGCTATAGATCTAATAGAGACAAGGTAGATCACTCTTTTCGGTGCGAAACCCGAGTGAGATATAAGGCGATGATGCGAGTTAAATTATTGGAGGATAAATCGTGGGAGGTCACTGGGTTTGTTGAAGAACATACAAATCATGTGTTGAGTAGTCCAGACAAAGCAAAAATGCACAGATCACATCAATAATTTCATAAAACTCAAAGATGTAAAAAACTTATTGAATAGTCTGCGAGAAGAAGGTATGCATTCTTCCACTATTTCTCGCGTCATCAATATAATCAATGGAAGATAAGGTGAATCAGTGACATCACAATAGTGCATTAATCATATCAGAACCTAAAGAGTCAACAATATTGGCCATGAATGCAT